GGACCCAGTGAACTACATATGTTCCCAGTCACTACAGACTACTGGAGCGACAGGAGCTGTCACTAGCATGTTGATTTGCTGTCTGCCGCCTAAAACAATAACTATGATTCATCGTTCACAGTTTCACAGTTCACCTTCTGTAGACGACCGTCTCTTTGAAGATGCACCCCGCCTACACATGCAAAAAAAAAGCCTGGCAGATCAATTAAAAACCTATGAAATTTGATCTCCTTACTTTATCAAACGCTGCTTTGAATCACAGGATACAGGCTGGAGTTTCAGGATGCAGAACCTGAGGCCAGACATCTCCTCAGGGTGCAGACAGATCCAGCCTCAAGGAGAAAGAAAAACTTGTCGTGACAGCTTACATCACTCTCTCACTGATAAACCACACTTGTTTGTGCAGCCATCTGAATCACACCATCTTGGGCTTCTTTTTCACGGCTCTGCGCACTTTGAAACTCTTTGCGAGGGGCATGTAAAGCATATCAAGACTGCGGTTAGAGACAGAGCAGGCTTCTCGGAATGCAGATACAGACAGATGCATTGTGCAGACATCCTCTGCGCTGCTGGCTCTCCGCTGGGTCAAGCAGGATGTGTGTGGGGCAAAGGGAGGACACAAACAGGTGCATAGCATCACTTTTAAAATGACAAAGGCTTCAAAACACCAAAGCTGGCTGTGGTTTAAAACATTAAGGGCCAGGTTTCCAGATGCAGATTAAGGTTCAAAAAGAGTTTAAGTGGGGGAATCCCCACTGACAGATGACTAAGTCCAAGAACAAGCTCAAGATTTTTTTGACAGTACACAGTGTTTCTCATGACACTGATATAAGCACTTGCAGAAAACTTACATACATTTCACATGATGTGTCTAAAAAACGTGTTTACAAGTAAACGCGTGACATAATGTGAGTAGTATGACATCACATGTTATGACCTGAATTTTATGTGATCACATTTCAGCACTCTGTGAAAAGTGCAAAAGCGAATGAATGTGAATGTGAGAAAATCAGTCAAAGAAAAACACTGTACAAATTTCATGCATTACATGTAAAAAGTCCAAAAATATGCAACGTCTAAAAACGTTATTGAAAATGTGAGTACTGACATGAGTTTTCTGTATGAGATATATTGTAACATATCATCACTTTCAGAACAAAATCTTATTAAAAACGTTTTTTAATTTTTAACATAAGTTAATGTAAAAAGATTTTATTCCAAGTCATTTTAGACCATTCCTATTGATACACTTAAAATTCAATTCTAACAGAGTGTAAACTACAGATGTCTTCTTCAATATATATATAAAACAAACTAAAAACAACTAAATTCGAGATACAATGTTGTAAAAAACAATGTAACGTAATTATAATCTAAATATTCGATTACAACAAGTTTATTATGCCTTTATTCCTTTAAAACTACTATCGGTTTTGTGAAGTAGCCACGCTATAACTGAAACAGCTATACGTGAACGTTTGTTACTGCCGTCTGAACAACACTATAATTTACCTGTACTTAACTAAAATAAGACACTGTCCCTTTATAAAAGCTTAAAATCGAGGATTGTGGCTGAACAAAGTACCTTATTAAGTAGCCTTTCTATGTCGCTGAATTGCACCTTTCGTCCACATACACCTTTTGAAATGGAGGTGTTAAAGTCTCTGTTATACTCTGGAATCCACAGACACTTATGAACCCACCAGGTAGGTGCAGCTCACAGAGGCATGACCAGGCCACGTTTCAGCTTACATTCATACTTAGGCGGATTCATGTAACATGGATGCAACCGTGTCAGGCAGTGTGTACAACAACAAAGGCGGACTGGTTTGCTGTGTAGGCCTATCTGTCGGTTAAAGTGGAGTTTCAGAACATCTCTGTAGGCCAACAGTATTAAATTGCAGGGATGTGTTTCAAGTCACCAAGTGCTTGTAGAAAGCTTGCCTACCAGAAACACCAGTTTTCTGTGTCAAGACACTGCTCATAAAGTTACAGTACAAATGATTTTGGTGTACTATTTCCCTAAGCATTGGTTACTAAAGTATAACTTCATCCAAGTATCCGTTATCATTTTTCATACATTAATATTAATCATTACTGTTACTGTGTACAAACATGATGTTATAATACCTTTTTTTTCCTTCTAGGACTGTTTTTTGTGCTTACATCTTACTTTCATCCATCTCCATGTAGTGAACAGCAGGGGTGGGTGATATGGAAAAAATAGTATATCGCAATACTTCAAGGCATTTTCATGATATATCTCAGCATTTTGACACACAGACAAAATTTGCTAGTAGTGTCACATTAAATTTAATTTAGCGATTATTATTAAATATATTAGTCACGTAATGTACTGCACTAAATCTAGTGAAAAAGGACTAACTATGCTCTTCCTGTAAAGGCACATGCTTTAGGTCAGTGTTCTTTAAGAACCTTCAATGTCCATGATACGCTCACAAATGTATACTGTTCATGACAATAACACTATTCATCTATTAATAAAATATCACCATATTGCACACCCCTACTGAACCATTCACAATTTCTCTTTCTCTTTCTGTTCCTCTCTCATTCAGCAGGCCTTGACAGTTTTCCAGCTTTCACAGCATGTAGAGGCAAGACAGGATCCTGGAGTCTAGCAGTGACCTGCAGCCCCGCTCCCTCTGGAAGTCTGTGTGAGAGGAGGCAGACAGGTGTGAGGAATCTAGCACCTCAGGCCCAGGCACAGAACAGCAGAGAGACCACTGTCTGGCCCTCCGCAGACTCTGGACAAGAACAGAGGACAGGGCTGAACACTGTGCTGATTCAGGATATTCAAACAACCCAGAAGAGAAAAAAAGTTGAAGTCTAGAATGAACATCTAAATAATTAATTAAAAGCTAGTTCTAAGCTTTAAACAAGCCTGGGCATTTACCTCTAGAATAAATTTTAACTGAAACTAAGCAGGACTATTTTTGTCCACTATCATGGCAATTTGTGTGAAGTTGAAAACAAGTTTTCTTCTCATACTTCCCAATTGCTGGAGATCCCATTGTTGCAGATTGTCTCCCAACACAGCTTCACCAATTGGGCAGCAAAGGGCTAGACCACAAAGCCACAGGCTTGCTCCAGAGTGACTAAGACTGATCACTGGCTCTAGGCCCTGCTTTCACTCCACTATCTGGTGTTTGGAGACAACAACAGCAGCAGTGTAGGCTAAAACCACAGCTGTTTAACTCTGTGTAGCACCACGCTTTTACCAACTTAGGCTCACTCAGTCCAAAAATATAAGTAAAGGTTTCTATAAAAAGACCAACTGTGGAACCGGCTGTTCATCTCACCTGCACAGTTCATTAGACATTAAAGGGAAATTCTACCAGTTGTCCAAAAGAAATGAGAGATAAAATCCACCATTTCACATCAAAACACTCTGAACGACAACAACTGAATTATACAGAATAATAAAAAAATGGGATTCCTCTTTATGCACCATGAAATGTCTCAAATGCATTTGTATTTTATACTTTTCAAAAGTCAGAAAGGCAGAGAAGCACAGGGACAACTTTGGCTACTATCTTCAGGTGTCACATACTTCAGTACTGTGGACACCGTTTACAACCACACCAGCTGGAACCAGTGTAACTTTAACTCTGCCCAAGTAAAGAGACATCAGTCAGAACACTGGTCTGAACCAGCGCACCTTTCAGCACAGCAAAGTGATCGTCGATTTGAACTCAGAAATGTATAAAACGAGGCAGGGTGTCCACCAAAAACACCATGAAGGTATCTCCCAATGTGCCAGAGTCTGTAATACTCCACAGCATCGCTGTAAACAAAGCCACAGTGCAAGTGGTCGGTCAGCACCAGCCACTGGATGACATAACAAGATTATCTAGACAGCATGAAACTCAAGCTAACAAATTTGCACTAAAACTTGACAGATAATCACACACAGCCTTCGTTTTTCATAAGAAAAAGGCAAAATGCAGTTTGGGACAGTGCAATGAGCCTGAAACCTACACATGTGCATCAATAACACTTCTTTGGATACAAAACGCACAGTAGCTAGAAAGCACTGGAGATTAAGGTCGTGAGTTATATAACATTATCAGACAGCAGACCGCAAACTGGGGAAAGAATGAGAGGCAGTGGAAGACTGAGGCAACTCCATGCAACCACAATCACAACCACTTTGAGTTTCCTAGATGGAAATAAGAGGTTAAATGTACAAACAGGGCTATGAGGGCGTGTAGTTTCATCTCAACACTCTCAAAAAAGATGGTTCTACAGGGGTTCTTTGGTAAAGGGAATGGTTCTATTTAAAAGCAGGAGTTCTATATAGAACCATGTCATGCTTAAATGGTTCTCTGCATGGTGAAAATGTTCTTCAGAATGTTATATATAGTTCTATATAGGGTTATTCTATGGTTAAAAGCTTGAAATTGTAAGCAGAACTCTTTTTGGTGATATGTAGAACCATTTTCAAAAAGGTTCTATATAGAACCATGTATTACACATTCTCCATGTATAAGACATTCTTTAAGCATGAAATGAACCATCTCTTTTAAGAGTGATGGTACACTCAAGACGACTGTAACTACACTGTTTTGAATTCACACGATTCAAATGTGTCACACATGAATAAAATAAGTTATATCAACACAATTCTTGTCAAAAGAGGTAAACTGGAGCACATCACTTTGTGTTCAAAACATTTTATTCATGCGTTTCAATTTCATCAGTTTACCAGAGGCACTCACAAATCTGACAGTCGTATCAGAAGTTATAGCAGACTAATTCAGTATAAAGCACCGCTGTCAATGTTGCCCAGATTGAGGTCTTCTTACTCGGTTTCTCCCTCTTAGGTTAGTAAACAGTGGGCTGACTGGGCTGACTGCTGTCAACGCGGCACACAGAGCCACAATAAGACCTAAACGTGAACCTGCTGCCGTCGAGCCGGAGTGAAAGTACGCGAGAGGCACAACACGTCGTTTTTGAAGCACTTTGCCTCAACTTACCGCGGTATCGTGATACACTTCGTGTTGACATCATGAGTTGTGATGGCTTTCTCCAGCTCGTCCAGCTGCCCCGTCTTCTTCAGCTTCTTCACGAGGCTCTTAACCGCCTTCTCACACCACTTTTCCTCCTGTCCGTTCTGTTCTCCCTTCTTCCACCCCAAAAGTCTCTTCACGATGGGGGGAGTGAAAGGTAAAATTGACATCTTCACAACTTCAGCTATCTTCCTTCTCGCCGCACTTTTACACACACATATACACAGAAATGAACAGCAAAATTCTTTTCAGCTACAGCCCAGAGACTAAGGAAAAAACACTAAGCAGACCAGTTAACGAAACCATGAGCTAAAACGCTTCATGCGGAGCAACCGAGGCAGATTATTCCGACTTGAGTAAACAGTCGTGTCTGGGTTTACCATATCTCTGCATGCACAGCCTGCGCAACACTATTAGCACGGGTGATGTATTACTCCGCCCAGAAATATAGTCCCCCTCCCCTCTCTGTGTTTTCTTGCTTTAAAACAGTAATACGACTATTGTCTCTTTACACGTATATATGTGACTCGACACTCACCGTATATATTTTAATATGTTTTTTTTTATTATTATCATTATTTTATTTTCATGTATCAGTGGCGAATTTGGAAGTTTGCTTCAGAGTTCAGAGTCTTCCGCCGGCAGCGCTGTAATACGGATCCCTCTGACGTCACAAGCTGAGTCTGCTTCTAATGCAAATAAGCCACAAGTAAAGCGCTCGAACTCACAATAGCTCACTGAGAGGAGTTTCCAAGTGGTGTTAAATGTGGTCTTCACACCACCCAGGTTTTTCACAGTCTAACTGTGAAAACAACAATAACATTGAGAATATTTAAAGGCTTATTTAGAGGTGGTTTCTTTAACGTAACTTAGCTACTTATTTACCTTATGGAAAAGTGCTGTAGTGATATTACATGACTTTCTACAGGATTCCCATAAAACCTGTAGTAAATTCAGACAATACTATAGTTCACAACAGGATACCACACAAGTATCATAGATTACTGTTAGACAGTACTGCAAGAACATTATAGGAGGCGAAAGTATTGCTATAGATTATGAATAGATTATATAAGTATAACACAGCACTATGGAAATCTTGTATTTTTATATACAATTTGAAAATTTGCTGTTGTTTATATTAATAATTGCTGTTATTTTATTATTTTTAACTTAAACAGTGTTAATAGAAATACTACTGGCTAGACACCAGATGTTTTCAAGATGTTTGATTTAATATTTATTTAATGATGAATAATATAGCCTACTGTAATTTCTATTAATTTCCTGAGAAGTTATGAAATCATGTATTTATCTGCAACTTGTGTTTTTTTAATTTTATTAAAAACAGTGATTCCAAACATATGAAAGCTTTTGAACACTAGTACAGCATTACATTAGATCTTTTTTATTAAGGTTTATGAGGCAAACTAACACTGAGGTATGTTTCCTTTAGAAAAGTTTATAAAAAGTGAACACATTCTCATCATTTCATCTCCACATCCATGAATTGTTGTGAATGGGGAGCTGGGCGCATTGTACGGTTTTATTGCCCCACTTCCTTCTCCATTGAAAGCACGTGTAAACCCTGGACAATAATTACCATTAGCCTGTGAGTCACAGGAAACGAGAGGGTGAAATTGAAAATGTTCATGGGAGGTAATCAAGTGCCCCCTCCCATTTCTCTCCACTGCAAGGCATTATGCATGTATGCAAGTAGGCTGCATAATTAAATAACAGGGTATCTCGGTGGATGGAGTTGTCAGGCGTTCATTCCATCTGATACCCTTCAGACTCAAGGGGGGCATGGGCTGCTTTTTTTAGTGAACGAAAAGGGGCTAAAGGATGTCACACTAGTCATGCAGGAAACTTGCCCCAGCTTGCCCCTACAAGACACAAACACATATTCCTTAGAACTCCTGGCAGAGACAGATATAGGCCTTATTTGGGAATAAACAGTGGGGCATCTACCATTTAGGTAGCTATGGCATCTAAAGGGGAATTCCACCAATTTTTCAAAATTTCTGCTTAATTAATTGTTTACCATGCAACCAAAGTCATTCAGAGTGGTCTAATGTGAAATGCTCTGTTCTAGAGAAACATACTAAGTCAGATTTGTTCACAGTGGTGGTGAAAGTTATTACATGAAATGCTGAAATTTTTAATTTGCTGCTTGATGCCTGGGGCATTGTTTACGATAGTTTTGAGAAGCCTTTGGCCTCAAATGTATTTTTAAAATCCATTCGTGATGGAGATGAACATGTAGGGCATCGTGAGGCAAAAAGGTCTCCAAAGAAAATGTGTTTTCCCAGATTTACCACTAATTTACCATCATTAACATTACATATATAAACTCAGAAGACATGTGTAGGTTCACTGGTGATTTTGGATATTAATTAAAATGGCTATATTTGTGTTGTAGACATTGTGACCCCTGGTTCCTAAGAAATTTAAGTTAGCAAGTTTTTACAATGAACTATATTCACATCAAAAGACTCTGAATTACTTTGTTTCCTTCTCAACCACTGAATTATGCACAAATTATGAAAACTTAGTGTAATTTCCTTTTAACATAATCCTTATTAAAGGGTTCTAGATTTAAGTCGTAGTGCTCTGGGGGCAAAAATGTAAACAGCAAAAGAAATCTAAAGCAAATTAGAATATCAAAGTCCTGCAAGTCCTAACATTCCAGGCCCTCCAGTGCATTCTGCAGTCACTTTCTTGCTGAAGGCATGCCTATAAGTAGTGATGAAAATATGATGTGGTACTTCACTCTTCTAGGTTAACCCCTTAACAAGCCATGGGCCCGCCAGCAGCCCCAAAGTTTTATTACACACTTCTATAACCTAAGAATAGACCCATTAGTTTCCACTGAAGTCCCTGTAGTTACTGAATAATAAGCCTTTGTATGAAATAAACCTGGAATGTTAAGGGTTTTTTCAGCCTGATCTCTATCTGCTGAACCTGTCTTTAGTGAAAGAGTTTCAAGTGATGTCAAAAAGGGTTCCCCTCAGAAATACGATAAAAAATACACTAAGATGTATATTTCTATATTAAGTGAAAGAAATGATCTGGCTATCTCTTCCTGTTCCCAGCTCTCAGGCACCCATGTGTTTGTACATGTGCTCACATATCCCTTAAGCATATGCCAAAGGGGTGATAAGGTCAGAGTGCAGACCAAAGAAGTGTGCACGAGAGGGCCAGATGTTACCCCTAAAATGCAAACAAGGCAACACACGGCTCCCCCATACCCAAAAAAGAATGATCACACTTCATATGTCTTTGTCGTCTGCTTTGCACAGATTATTTTTTATTTCCTGAATAGCAATTAGCAGCCCCTACTGCATGTGCCATATTTCATTGATGTAACTCTACCTTCTCTCTTCTTGATATCATATTTTAAAAGATTTATGTTGTTTATTTATTTATTATGTCATACTGAATGTAGCACCTGTGTTGTGCAAAGCATTATTCATTTGTTTCAACTCAAGTCTAAACACAAAAATTCATGCCCCTAGTCATGTCTCTAATACTAAAACTGCTGGATACTGAAGTGATATCATTTTGAATGACTAAGGACAACAATATTTATGAATCATGACTATCGACATAGGTGTTCTTGTATGTAACTCGTCCCTAGAGATGTGCCAGTGTAAAAAAGAGTAATACATTGATAGACAACTTTTTATCACAGTTTACAATATTATCACATAGTATATATCTATATAGCTACTTTGTGGGTCTAAAAAGAATTACATTAAAATGCAGTGATGGTATTTAAAAATGGTCACAATAACCAGGGTTCAACATTAATGCTTGTCTGTTTGTCTGAATTCTGAAATTCGTCAGTTCAGACAAGTAAATACAAAGCAAAATTAACAGGCTAACAAACCAATTTTACAAAATAAACATATTCTGAGAGGAGTGAACATTATTTCAGCATATACATCAAGGTTTTCTAGAAGAAACTGAGGTGCATGCGTAGTAGTTTCAAACAGCAAATAAGTTCACATCTTCATTAGACCTGGGGGATTCACTGCAATGGCAGCTGCTAAGCTATTCAGTCAGAATATTTTTAAAACCTCCACAATCTGAACAAGTACTAGATAAAGTTCCAAAACAAGTCAGTCCAAGGGCCAATGCTGGCATATAGAAGTAAGTAACCATGTTAGCTGCTAAAGTAACCATCAAACCACATGGCTTGCTCACACAATATGTCATATAGCAAGTGTGCATTTTTGATCATCTTAATTTTATATAGCGGTATTCACCTTTTTATTCTATTGAGAAGTGGATTTACCCCAAAAAAGCTCAATGTCAAGCCCTGATAACAATATTGTGTGTATTCAACATCATGTTTTATCTTTTACTGAATCAAAATCAGCATGAAAATATCAGCATCTGCTTGTCCTTCTTTATACTCATCATAAGAGAAACCGTGGAGCCTGTCAGCATCAATAAGGAACTGTTTAAGCTGCAAGTTTTGAAAGCCTTGCTCTCTTCCCCTCTAACGACCCGTGTTCCTCTTATAAAACAGCATACTAATGGTGCTAAAAATAAAATGGCCTACAACTCAGCATGGCCAAGGCCCTTCCTTTCAGCTATTTTAGAGAACCACCGGTGTATATTTTCACATCCTCTCTTGCTTGCCCTGTTTCCTTCACACTGCCCAGTTAGAGGTAACTGTCAGAGAAACTTTTAAAATATTGCATTGCAACAAGAAGTTCAGACTAATTACTCTGCCTTGTGATATTGTAACATCCGAGGCATTTCAAGTCATGAAGTGAATCATTTATTGCATTGAACATCATAATCGCAAATGCAGAGGCGAACTGTTACTTTTAGAATTAGGCCTTCAGTTCATACAATAAATGTCAAAATTTGGCCACAACATCTTTTTGATAATCCTAATTTCTGCTAGCAGCTTCTGGGCTCTAGTAGTTTGTTAGTGCTAAGCTAACAGCAGTTCACAAGTACATTTTATGGCCATTTTAGTTTAACCCCTTAAAATTCCAGACGTGCTACATACCAGGTCTTATTATTCAGTAACTACAGGGACTTCTTACTCTTAGGTTATAGAAGTGTGCAATAAAACTTTGGGCTCACCGACTGGCCCTGGCCATTTAAGGGGTTAAACACAAACACTTGTATCACACATTCCATGCTTTATTTGTAACACTTGTAAAAGATCATAACATATATGCTGTCTTGTAGCAGTTTTATAGTGACTCCTTCAGTAAAGAGTTCCATAGAGCTATCACTGTTTTCCATTTCAAACAACTGACTGAAAACTGGTTGGACTACCACTTGTATTCGTAGTCAGTGATGTATCTAGGACTTCCAGAAGAACTGGAGTGACAAAATCCCACTAACTGTAAACCAAAACATGATTGTTTGATTCACTTTC